CTATAAAACCAGGGTGAGGAGGTTGGCCGACGGACTCCCCTGTGACTGTGGGGCCTATTTCCGATCCTCGGTCCATTCACGTCTCCGGGCAGAGTTCCTCTGAGCAGTGTCCACTGACTCCCTTGACGCCTTTGAGGAGCAGTGGGCACTGTCCGGGGTCCTCTGCTCGGTGTCCCCGTCCGGTTCCCTTTGTTTGACCCTTTGACTGCACTCCCATCCCTGTTGTTCATTAGTTGTCCCCCGTAATTACTTGGTTTTCCAGGTCCTATGGACCTTGTCATAAATATAAAGGGAAGGGTAAACCCCTTTGAAATCCCTCCTGGCCAGGGGAAAGCTCCTCTCACCTGTAAAGGGTTAAGAAGCTAAAGGTAACCTCGCTGGCACCTGACCAAAATGACCAATGAGGAGACAAGATACTTTCAAAAGCTGGGAGGAGGGAGAGAAACAAATGGTCTGTGTCTGTCTGTATGCTGCTCTTGCCAGGGACAGAACAGGAATGGAGTCTTAGAACTTTTAGTAAGTAATCTAGCTAGGTATGTGTTAGATTATGATTTCTTTAAATGGCTGAGAAAAGCATTGTGCTGAATAGAATAACTATTTCTGTCTGTGTATCTTTTTTGTAACTTAAGGTTTTGCCTAGAGGGGTTCTCTATGTTTTTGAATCTAATTACCCTGTAAGATATCTACCATCCTGATTTTACAGGGGGGATTTCTTTATTTCTATTTACTTCTATTTTTTATTAAAAGTCTTCTTGTAAAAAACTGAATGCTTTTTCATTGTTCTCAGATCCAAGGGTTTGGGTCTGTGGTCACCTATGCAAATTGGTGAGGCTTTTTATCCAACATTTCCCAGGAAAGGGGGGGTGCAAGTGTTGGGAGGATTGTTCATTGTTCTTAAGATCCAAGGGTCTGGGTCTGTAGTCACCTAGGCAAATTGGTGAGGCTTTTTACCAAACCTTGTCCAGGAAGTGGGGTTCAAGGTTTTGGGAAGTATTTTGGGGGGAAAGACGCGTCCAAACAGCTCTTCCCCAGTAACCAGTATTAGTTTGGTGGTGGTAGCGGCCAGTCCAAGGATAACGGGTGTAATATTTTGTACCTTGGGGAAGTTTTGACCTAAGCTGGTAAAGATAAGCTTAGGAGGTTTTTCATGCAGGTCCCCACATCTCTACCCTAGAGTTCAGAGTGGGGGAGGAACCTTGACAGACCTCCCCCCCATTAGGGTGGGGGGGGATCCTTTAGCTTCGCCCGCCCACTTCCTGGATCCCAATAAGGCTACTCTGCTGTACCCAATTGGCCTGGGTCTATCACAATAGGCTGTGAGCTGTTTGGGGCAAGATTGTCATTTACAGTGTGTGTGAAAAGTGGCCAAAACAAGGAAGCCCCAATTGTAGTTGGGTCCTCTAGGTACTTGTGTAATATAAAGAAGAGGAGGAAGAAAAAGAAGAGCCAATCACAACTGATAGATGAAAACTCAGATCTATCATTTTTTACTGTCTCACTAAATAAGTATTTATATGAGACATCAGTGCATCCTTAAAGAAGCTGTTTTGGTCTATCGGGTAAATGTGTGATTTTTGGAAACATAACTGAAATTTTTTTGTGTGTGTATTCTGATGATCCACTAGATGTCAGTGTAACCAAAGCATTAAGCTGATAGATAACAAGTCTATTGGCTGGAGAACCAGGACAGAGATGTCCGTGGAACAATAGTTATGCTCTCCCTTGCCCAATGGACACAATACATGTCGGGACTGCTACGTTTTTATGCTACTCTAGGAAATATGTCCAGGAACAATATCACAACTGATTACTCTGACTCTGTGATATACTTCCTACCCATACAACTTCTGTGGAGTAGGAATGTAAATACTTTTGAGAATGATGAGCTGGTAGTACCCTTCAGTTTAGAGGTAGGATGAGTAGGCAAAATGAAGTGCTACCAAACAGGTGGAATCCAGGTAAAACTAGGGGCACTTGAGGGGGTTGATACCTGTGAATGTTGCTTTGTGATTGTAATTTTTCTCTTTATTCTTCCCTGAAAGGGATCTTTCCAGCTTTTCTTCAGAATGTGATGACTATTCTTCCAGACACCGAGGAGTGGTCCTGGCTCCCTCGAGAGATTATCAGGGCTGCTTTCGAATCAGGCAGAGAGCTTGATGCAAAGTACTACAAGGTGCTCCCTCCCTAGGTTGAGGACATTGTCTCTTTACAGTGCTCCTAGCTTTTGCCATGTCAGGAATGAAGGACCAGCCCCAACCACGGATCTCCAGCTGGTAATCAAACTGTCATCACTAAGTCAAATGCTCCTAGGCTCCCAGATCAATTTTTCTATCTGGAAACAGCTCGGCTATATATGATTGGGCAGATCTATCAGGTGAGAAATCCCCTATTCTTAGAATATTTCTCACCAGGGCTAGAGAGTAATTAAAAAATAAAAAGTAAAACACAATCCTCAATTCCCATGGTCTGTTTTGTTTTACTGGTCTTTATGCATAACACATATTCATAAAGCGTCCAAGCCTTCTGTTTATTACATACTCTACTAATCACTCTCTTCTGTCCCATTCACTTATCCCCAAGAGACGTGAAGAAAACCACCAACATGCACCAGACAAAACAAAAATGGGGAGTTATATTGCCTTTACTTTTGGAAGAGCAACTAAGAGTTCAATTACATTTCTTACTTTCACTTTATACCATAAAAAACCATCAGCGGACATAAGAATTGCACTACTTAATCAGATCCATGGTCCATTTGAGCCTAGATTCCATCTCTGAAAGGGCTTGTCTTTGTTAGGATATAGATATTCAGGTCTGTCTGTAAAGGCCTGTACTCTAAGAATTTAGGTGTATTCTTATCACTTGGCTAGTTATAGAGGTATAAAAGAAAGAATCAAAACCACTGTCTGCCAGTGTAAGGGCCTTCTCTTACTGTGACAGTCTGAGGCCCTGTTCTTAGGCTAAGGCCTTTGGCTAAGCAACAGAGGCAGCCATAAACTGGGAAGTGAACGGTCACATCCTCACATTCCAAACTAGTCACATTGAAATAAGGTGCTATTGGGCTGTTAGGCACTATCAGGACAGGATTGTATTCCTATCACCTCCAGAGAAAGGGAAGTGCCTAGAAAATGTAAAAGGAAACTTAGTTTGATAGCATCCTGTCTGGCAAGAACTCACTTATCAATAGCTCGGATGTGAAATCCTCACTTCTGTATTGTCTTGTCATTATAGTTCCCACTTTGCTATTGTTTGTCTGTATAATCTCTGTCTGGTTCTGTGATTGTTCCTGTCTGCTGTATAATTAATTTTGCTGGGTGTAAACTAATTAAGGTGGTGGGATATAATTGGTTACATAATCATGTTAGGATTGGTTAGTTAAATTTCAGGAAAATGATTGGTTAAGTATAGCTAAGCAGAACTCAAGTTTTACTATATAATCTGTAGTCAATGAGGAAGTGAGTGGGCGTGGGTGGGGGCGAGAGTGAGGGAAATGGGAACAGGGAATGGGGGTAAGAAAATTGCAATCATGTTTTGCTAAAGGGCAGGAATGGGAACAGGGACACAGGTGTAAGGCTCTGTGGTGTCAGAGCTCGGAAGGAGGATACTAAGGAAGGAAACTGGAATCATGCTTGCTGGAAGTTCACCCCAGTAAACATTGAATTGTTTGCACCTTTGGACTTCGGGTATTGTTGCTCTCTGTTCATGCGAGAAGGACCAGGGAAGTAAGTGGGTGAAGGAATAAGCCCCCTAACAGTCTTCACTCGTGATTTTCACTTAATATGTTTGTAAAAGCTAACATGGACATTCCCCAATGTTTGGTCCAGGCATGGTCCAAATGTGGTAACTACTTTGAGCTGTCAGTTAATTAAAATTATAAAAAATCTGAGTGTAGGCATAGCCATGTTGGTCAATATTACTAGATATACATCAGTGGAAGCAGCAAGAAACCCCATAATGGACAATTATGAAATAATTTGCACATGGAAAACTTCCTCCCTAGCCCCTGTTAGTGATAAGCTGATGACCTGAAGCATGAGGGTTTATATATCTTATAAAATAATTTGATCCCATCTAATGTAACGATGGATGTTTTCATTATCCAAAGAATAGGCGATCTTTTCCCATTTCTGTAGCGTCACATCACAGATCTTGATGTTGCAAATTGGGCTTGCAGGAGATGGGAAAAACCAATGAAAAGTCACCTGGTGAATAGCTTTTCCTCTTGGGTGCTACATGCTGTCGCTTCTGTCACATACTGTAGTTGGTGGAATTTCTGCTACCTAGAAATTTAGTGTTTTCTCTTCTACTATTTTGCATTTGTTCTATCATTTAGAGTTGAAATGTTGCATGTGTGTTTGATGATTTTGTTAGGTAAAAAGTATTTTCCGTAAGATCATTTGTGGATAACACATGGCCCTGATCCATGAATACTTAAACACCTGCATTAGTCATAGGATGAGAGTTGAGTTATGCATGTACCTAAGCATTTGCAGGCTCAGAACCAACAGATGTATACATTTATGTTTCCTACACATTGAATATAACTGAAAGGAATATATGAAAAGCAAAGATTTCAGATCTAATTTCTTCTTAAATCCTCCTTTCCTGACTGCTAAGCAACTGGAAAACAAAATTAGAAAGATTTTTTTCCTACTTTTTAAAAAACAAAGCATAGAGTAACTAATGTTGCAGAACTCTTGCAAGATTAGAATTAAAGCATACAACTAGATTGTCATTTATATGCTACACCTTATAGTGATGTCTTCATTTACTCAGTACATACTTTTAAATTCACTGTTCAGTCTACATACATGTACTATAACATACTATACACTCATTGAAAGCAGATCAAAATACATCTAAATCCACATTTATTTTAAAGTCAACGACTTAATTTTCAAATCTATTACAAATTTGTTTTTCCTTATGTATTTTGAAAACAACAAATAGAACTAATTAGGATAAATACCTACTGAGCTTTCGTCTTACAATTAGTTCTATTACATTCTGAGCGCAGGGCCTCCCTTTCCATTTTTCTTATATAAAATACAAACAGTTGTACTTACAACTATTAATACAACTATTACAGCCCCAGTAACAATTAATACTATTACTGAAACATTGATACCATCACTGATAACATCAGGAGGAAGCGTACCAGGCAAGGATTCCTTTGGAGGAAGAAACAGAGCTGCTTGTGCTATATTAGACACCTCTGAGGTCAGGAAAGCATTATCAATGGCACGTATTGCAAAGTAGATTACGGTGCCATTTTCTATTGTGACACTTTCTGCTTTAAACTGAAATGATTCTTTGGTGCCGGCAGGGTTAGGTATCAGACTAGAGGTATTCACGGAAGTAGCATTCTCAAAGGTGTTTCTTAGGTCCAGAAGACTTTCACTCATTTTTATTATGTATCTGTCAGCTGGAAAAAGAGAGGTATGCAAGTAAGAATGTGTTAGTATGCCTATTATACTATCTGTAAATGTAAGGATAGTACAGGATTTGTAGAATAGTTTTGTATCTTTATAAGAACTCCAATGATACTCCATGACCAACCCGACCATTTTACCCACCCAAATTATTGATGGGCCTGCTTAATTGACTAACATCCTTTCTCTGAAGAGCTCTGGACAGAATTCCTGTTAGAACTTATCAGTTCCACATTTTAGTTGGGTCAACAGTCTACTGTTAACTGATGTGGGGCATTCCTCCCCTTCACGAGCACTAACCACATAATGTTCCCAGCACTCTTAGCTTCTGCTGGGCTGAGCAGCAAGAAACCAAAACCAGGAATTTGAGATGAGTCTTCCACATGGCAGTGCAGAGAACTTCCATTAAACTGCCCCCATCTATGCCTTACTCCCCCACGCTTTACACAAAAGTATTTATAGTACTAAAATAAAAACATAACTTTTGGATGAGAAATGAAAATAGGATTTCTTTCACTTGTCTCTAGGGAGTATCCAGGTCAAGTATAAGACCAAACAGTACATCTGAAAAACACAGCAGTACAGGGACCCTGCATCCTGGTCAACATTCCCTCTCTTAATGTGAGCAGGTTCTAAAGCATAGGCTGAGAGATAGAAAAATGCCTGCTCCATTTGCCAGCATAGTTAGTGTGTCAGGGATCTTGCTGCAAATGTGCCTGGCTTCCCACTGTCCACAGTTGTCATTTCAAGACTCTATGGTTCTGTTCTGCTAGTGGGTTTTCTAGTTCTTTGCTTGATTTGAGTTCTACTTCCTGCTCTGCATCTTCTTTTCTGTCCCTTCAGAGAGGGGGTAACGGGTAGCATAAGAGTGCTATTCCAGCTCTACACCATCAGAGGATGCTCCTAATTGAGGTTATTCTTCTGTTGCTGGCTACTCTAGCTGTAGGGCTGTTTTGAGCCAGACGAGTAGTGAAAGTAGCCACATAGAAGAACCTAGGCCAGTGTTTTGGGGATTTAATGGAGTTGCTGGTTTGTTCCCTGGTGAGCTGGTTGGCAAGAGCTGTAGGTGTATGTAAAGATTTTAATCTGAAGCTGCTCTCTGTGTGACTGAAGGTTGTCTATCTTAACCTCTCTGGCTTGTGTTGATGTGCACACTATAACATAACCTGGTTACAACATACTTAAAATATATATTATAAACGAGACCTAGCTGTGTCCCCATAAATGGACTAAAGCCTTGGACTGTCCATGTTATAATTGGGACCCCTGACTTGTTTATAGTTGCAGTGTAGACAGTGGCTAAGCCTTGGAAGAGTCACTGGTGAGTGTGGTTTTTGATTTGTTTGCCTTTGTAAACTAGCATAAGGTTGGTTGGTATACAAGTTTTGCATTTTCTGTTGTACCAGGTTTGGGAGCACAGGCACTGACTTTTGGCTTTTCCAGGGGGTGCTCCACCGCCGCTCTGCCCCGAGGCCCCACCCTCACCCCATCTCTTGCCACCCCTACTTTGCCCCCTCCCCCAAGTCCGCACTTCTTCCCATCCTCTTCCCACTATACCCTGCCCCATCCCCTTCTCTTCCCACGACCCCTCCCCCTCGCCATCAAACAGCTGATCGGCAGCCAGCCCCGGGACCCTGCTGAACCACTGTGACTAGTGAGTGCTGAGCCTCCCCTATTTTTTCCATGGTGTTTGAGCCCGGAGCCGCCTCAGAGTTGGTGCCTATGTTTGGGAGTATTCCATGTTTCTTTAAACATTTTTTTAAAAGGATTAAGTGGGACTAATGTGAGTATCATATTGAACAGTGAATTTATTGGTTATTAAGTCCTGGTCTACACTAGGAAATTTTATAGAGAAAATCTAGAGTTGGTCAAGCCATAGCAATGGTCATATTTTTTGCAGATGGGAAAGACAGCTCTTTTCCTCACCTCTCCTTCGCTGGCTCTTCATATGTAATTTCAGATAACTGACAATAATTCATCACTTCCAGCTGACTAAAACAAAACTTCACCTTACCTTGTCCCACATCCAAGTCATTCCCAGGAGCTGTCCAAGACAAGTGAATTTTATCTTCTTCAAACTGAGCCTCGAGGTCAATAATTTTACAGGGTGGGAACACATCAGTAGTTCCTCCTGATGGAACATTCGCCACTACAAAAGAACCTCCTGTTGCAACTCTATTGAAACTTCCTAGCTTTGCTTGAATTTCATCATCACTAACTTCAGGTCTCGGGGCATTCATTTTGATTTCACCTGCCCCAAAAAAGAAAAAAATTGCTCATGCTATTTGAACATTACAAAACTCCAAATTGTAACACACTTTTTATCTAGCATCCTTCTCTCTTTAATCTACTTTTTTTGTTGGCCTATTGAAGCTTAGTGCAAAAATTAGCAAGGCTAAAAACCAAAGTGAACTTCAGGATCCTGCATCCTTGCACAAAACTAAGGCAGACCCCCAAAAGCAAACCAGATTTCAACGGCAGTTGAAAGTAGCAACAGTGCCTATTGTCAGTTAGGGTATTTAAGGTATTGAGCAGGTGTCAGTGGGAAGTGGTTGTGATAAGGCAGCTTCCACCCATCTCCTCCTAGGTATTGCAGGCAGCATAAGAATTACAATCTTGTAGGAATTTCCTTATTTTTCTGAGTTTAAGTTGGAGACATTTTTTATGTAGACTTCTTTAATTCAGTATATTCTAATTTTCTAGGAATACAGAAAATTGTCCCTCTGTGTGCACACACACACGTGCAAGAAAGAGGATATGACATGCAAAAGCTAACAATCTAAAATTAAGGTTGAGAAATCAGGCACTCAAAAGTCAAGAAATTCAAAAAGCTAAGTTTTCTATTACCATATTATATATATATATATATATATATATATATTTACTCCTGGGGGAGCTCTGCATTACTGCATGCATGCATAATTAATGAGCCCCGCAGATTTTTAATTTTTTGTGCAGAAAAAGCTTCTGCCGAAATGTTGCTGCAGTTCTGCCTTGAGCCCACCAGAGGGTGCTGTGGTGATTGAACAAAGCAGCAGTTCACAGCCAGCTAAGGAAGAGAAAGCCTGCCTTATTTACAGTGCCTGTCAGGCCAGGTCAGGAGACAGACATGGGGAGATAGACAGCGTGGGGTGTTGGGGGGAATCAGACAGGGGCTCATAAGGGCTAGTGGGGGAGGACAGACTGGGGCAGGGGCTGAATGGGAGTAGAGGCACAAGGCAACAGGAGGAAGGGGTGGAAGGAGGTGCAGGGCCACATGGTGAAGGGGTGCAGAGCTACATAGGGACAGGGGGTGGCTGAGTGGGGGCTCAGAGACACTTGAGGACAGGGGATGGGTACAGGGACACAGGGACAGGGGAGTAGCTGGGTGGGGACAGACACACATGGGACAGGGAAGGGGGTACAGAGCCACATAGGGACAGGGGGAGGGGGTGCAGGGCCACATGGGGATGGGGCGAGGGGTGTCTGAGTGGGGGTGGAGGGACACGTGGACAGGGGGTGCAAGGACACATGGGATGAAGGGACACATGGGGACAGGGGCAGATATGCCTGACTGCATGGGAGAGGCTAGGGATCAGCCAGGATCTGCATGGGGGAAGCTCCCTAACAATTCCTCCCCGCTCCCCGCCCCCCCAAACCCCCCGTGTTCCATACTTTTCCCACCCATACTCAACAACCCTCCAAGTTCACACCCAGGCTCCTTCCCAGCAATTTACTTCCCTGTTCCTCAGCTCCTCCATTACCCCTGACTCCCCCAAGCCTTTGCACTGCTTCTGAGGGGTGCAGGAAATATGGTTCTGTACTGTAGTTTAAATGAATTATTACTCAGTATTATTGCCTAGTAAGGAATCTACTTGTCAAAGATTCCCTGAATCTTTTTTGTTGTCTGTATTGTTACAGACATACTTGCTGACAGGTATTTTGAAATAAATGACCAAAAATAATTGAAACTGGTGTGATTATATTGTGTTATTTTGACAAATAAAATATGCAGAATTTTGCAGAATTTTAAAATATTGTGTGCAGAATTTTTAATTTTTTGTTGCTGAATTTTAAATTTTTTGGCACAGAATTCCCCAAGGAGTAATAATATATATATTTACCATCATATTGCACAATTTGCTGGGGTGGGATTTTTTTTCACGGGCGGGGGGCATGTACTGGTACAAGAACGTTAAGATGTATATTTAATAAGGAAAACAGGAATAGGAAATACTACATTGTGCGAACACTGAGTGAACACTGAGGTATAAATCTTAACAGTTGGAACTTCCTGAGGTATTTGGGTGCCTAATATCTCACGCTTAGAGTGTGTTTCTTACTCAGTAGAGCAGCAAGTCTGTCTACCCAGAGTCAAATCTGCTGGATTAAATGGCAAAAAGCAAGTTACTATTTTTTTTCTCCAAACAAACCGTTGTTAACCAAGTTCCATTTGCAGAGCAAACTCTGTAACTAGTGCCTTCAAATTATGCCCCCAGTTACACTTGTGCAATCCCACTGAAGGCCAGAGGACTGCATAGATATACTGAGCATGGCATTTGGCCTGCAGACGCTGGTGACAATTCACAAGCCAGAAAGAACACAATTTGATTTTCAGATCCTAGGCTGAGTCTGCAGGGCTCTGAGTTGTTAACAGCGCAGTTGTTCTTTGTAAATAGAACAATTTTCTTCTGGAGTGATTGAGAAAACAAGTGTAGAATTTGACAATACTATTTTTACAAAGTCACTTTTCAGAATAAAATATTTTAATGATGAATTAACTGTTTTCTTTGCATTTGATTTCTCTGGGGCCTCTAGATCAAAAGAGAAATGCAAAAGTAGTGGAAAGATGAAAAGATATATTAAGTCACAACACACTCGTAACAGACTCACTGTAAAAGTATCATTAACTGAAGCTCCATTGATTGAGAAGGCTTAAGCAGTAAGACCTGAATAGCAGTATCCATACCTGTGGTTTCTGGAACTGAGAATCTTTAACTCACATGCCTAATGGAAAGAGTCCTGAACAATGTGTCCAGAAAACCCAACAGAAGAACAGAAAAATTCTCATGTGGATGCATTAAACTGATAAATTTAAATTTCTTAACTTTGAAACGGATTCCCTAAAACCTCATTTTTAAGTCTCAGTGAAACATACAAATTTAAAATTTCTAACTTCAGCTGTTTTTTATATGATTTTCAGTTCCAGGATCTTTGGCAACTCCCATGTGTTCCAAAGAGCACTTAATTATTATAATATATATTTTTTTATAAAATGTGGTACTATACCCATTGCTCAGATATAGCAAAAATGCTGTGGTTCCAGCTACTGTTTTCTAAAAGTATAAACAATAGTGGAAAAGATATATGTAACAAATGTTAAGGTTAAAAAGCTTTTTGTGAAGCTAAATGATCTCCCATTCACCCATATTGAGAGAGAGAGGAGAGAATTTTCTACTTCATAAATGTTTCTTACCATTTTCTATGTAGCCTGGAACATACAAGGCTCGGCTCTGCCTGCGGCCAAGTCTGACAGTCTTATTTCTCCCCTGGATATGCACTTTTAAGTTGTATCTACCATTTCCCTTGAAAGATGTAAAGTACTTTGAATAGATTCCATCATTCTTGGTAATATCAGCACCTTGACATACAAATATTAATAATTACCCATCCAAACAAGGTACTTTTGTTAAGCAAGGGCATTTTTTGCTGTTCAGTTCATAAACACATAGGGTCTACACCTTCTTCTATTGAAATCAATAAGAGCTTTGATACGGACTTGGGTGAAAACAGGATCTGTCCCATTGTGTTGACATGAGCTCATTACTTATTTAACTGGAGATAACAATGTAGCATTAAAACATGTTACTGTGTATTTACTGTTGTTTCCAATAGGCCAGCAGTTCTCAACTACTTCTTAGTAGTTCTCCGTAGTAGTCTGATCTGTGGAGTCCTTCTTGGTGGTCTGCAGACTAACATACTTTGAGATTGAAGCAATGATGGAATGTGGGGAGGAGAGAGTCTACAGTTTGCATTACATGGTTCAGATAATGGAGAAGGTGGAGAACAATAGAATTATGCATTTGAATCACATCACCTCTGTAGGCACAATAGATTTGAAAAGGAGAATAATAATCCATGTAATTTATACTTTTGAAGGAGATGTTTTTAACATTAGCTATACTGTCTATATAGCATGTGACAAGCTATAGAAACAGACTCTCGCTCTCCTGTTCTGCCACCTGCATCCCCTCTGCAGGGCAGACCTGTATGTAAAATATACATAAGTTCAAACGGTGAATATGGCTGAATCAGACCCACAAGGCAATTGACCCCTTTCTGTCCTTGTGCTAGCTATTTGCATGATGAGTAACAGCACAGGAGAGGGAGAAGGCTCTGCACAACCATGACACTCCCCTTCTTCTTGGGCACAGTTTCTCTCTCTCCTCCTTCCTAACACACCCAACAGCGTAAGTGCACCAGCATGTCAGGGCACACATGCTGCACCAGTTTAGACCCAGTGCAGTTTATTCTCATCCTGAAGCTGTGGGGGAGACCAGAGTTACCATCTCCCTCCACTAGATGCCTCTTGTTCTGTGCTCATGGCATAGGCATGGCTGAACCAAAATGGGGAATGTATACATTTCTCGACAAAATGTAAGGAAAGTAATAATCAGATTACCTGAACCATCATCAAGGAGTTTGAGCTCCACTGCAGATCCAGTCTGTGGTTCAACAGTGGCCATCACGGTTGCACCAAGAACAGGCAAAAATCCTTGACTAACTTCTGCATAAATCACCATTGGATGAGGGAAATTGTTTGTATCCTTATTCATGTGGGCTTTCACAGTCACTGGAGGCACAGTCAAAGATGCTGCTCGAGACGTTACTATCATTGATATGACTTGAGAAACTGTGTGGCTATTTTGAATCCAATATAACCAATCTCCCACCTGGAAATCAAATAGATATAAAAATATAATATAAAAACTTCATTAGTCTAATGGCAGCTTTGTGTTTCCCTTAGTTAATTATTATCTTAGTTCACGGGAGATTTCCCAAGGCAAACAGGGCAGTTAAGGTATTGCTACAGGACCACAGCTAAGGTAATTTGCATACCTTACTTGTGATTCTTCATGCTCTCAAATGTTTGGTTTCTTTTAAATTTAACCTTATATCTGAATTTGCTCAGTTTTAATGGTGGATGTTTGAGAATTATCACATTCTTGGAAGGATTAGAACCTGTATATTATAGATATGTACTCTCAAGCTTAATTTCCCCTGAATTCAATATTTTGTCTGGCCGTCTTGTGTACTTGGGATGTGTATAGTGCATAATAAAAAATTAGGAAGAGCACAGACAACCAACTTCCATGGCAAGTCAGTTGAGTTACAGGAAGGATAAAATTGGTTCATTAGGAATATATGTTTATAACTTCTAAAAAGAGAAGGTGCATTTTAGTCTATGAAAATGTTAACATATTTGAATAATAAAACAAAGTTTAGTTTTTACCTCTGCAGTGCCTGCTATATTCAGTCGAGCTGTTCGGAGGTTTAGATTACTAACTGTGAAGGCTGAAGTTCTATATTCTTTTCCTTTGGGGTCCCTCAGTAAAATGTCTGGTGGAGATGTGCTTTGATCCCATGTAACTACAAAGAAGGTGTCATTTCCCACAGTGCTATCTATAGTCACCGTACCATTCATCCACTGCTTGACTGCGACACTCCGAGCTGTACTTTCAAGCTGTTAGACAAATAAAATATGTTTTACGGCAAGTTAGCAGATAAACACTTAAAATACCAGTAATTTCAAAGTGGTTCATTTTCCTCTTAAAGGGGAGAACAAATCAATATTTTGTCTATTCAGAGTGCACCTCGACTGGCTGGTGGACAACTGGCCCACTGCTGGAAGAGGGGATAGAGGAGCATTAATGCTGTCACAGGCCTGTTGGCACCACGATGAGCAGGTGGTGTTCTGTTCTGGTCTCTGCTGTTCTGTGCAGAGCTGAGGGTTGTGCACAGGAGGCAGGAGCCTCCTGACACTGTGCCTCCACACATGGGAAACTAGCAGGAGGATGAGGGCCACGTGGATTAGCCATTGAAGGGAGTGGAATGATGAAGGCCTGAGCACATTTTCAGTAATGCCCATTTGCAGAGTACAATTACTTAAGAATGTGAAAGTATAGTAACCAAGCATCTCCTTCCACTGTTATATGTGGTCTATCCACCTACCTATCAAATCACATCTGTGCAGGAGATTAGTGCTACATTTCCTCTCCAGCTCTAAGCCTGTTTCCAGAAAGATCGCACAACAAGAGAGCCATACAACCACACGTAGAGACAACAGAAAAGCAATGATAATTGAAGAGACAGAAATAATAAAACACAGCAAGAACAGAAACAAGATTTCCTTTACCAGCATTGGTATTGCACACGTGGGCCACCAGAATTTACAGATAAGCTACCAATATGAGTTTTATAGTGGCCCACTGGACTACTAGGCTGCCAGTAGATTTGCTCAGTTCTCTTTTAGGGATTAGAAAAACTACAAATAGAAAAGTACCTTTAAATAAAATAACTTTCTGTTTAGAATAAAAATGGGAAGCTAGATACTGAAACGCTATTTCAAAGAGCATCCGAGCGGACATTTGAGAGTCAGGTGTTCAGACGGTACTCTAGTGATGAGATTGATATAAGTGCTTAGAAAGTGAGATAAACTGTCTTTTAATAGCAGCTGTTAATAGCCCAGAAAATAAAGAAACATTTTGTTTTCTTTCTCCTGAATAGAGGTGATAGTGGAGCTACAAAAACAGGAAACCTAATAATAATGGGGGATTTCAGCTCTCCCCATATTGGCTGGGAATGAGTCACCTCAGGATGGGATGCAAAATTTCTAGATATCATTAATGATTTCTTTTTGTAGCAGCTAGTCCAGGAACCCATAAAGGGAGATGCATGTCTTTAACTAGTCCTAAGTGGTTCACAGGATCTGGTCCACGAGGTGAATATAGCTGAACTGCCTGGCAGTAGCACCAATACTGTAATTAAATTTAACATTCTTGTAGGGGAGAAAATACCAAAGATACCCCCTCAGCAGCATTTAACTTTGAAAATGGGAACTAAACAAAAATGAGGAGGTTAAATGGAAATTAAAAGGAACAGTCAGAGGAATGAAATGCCTTCAAATTGCATGCAAACTTTTAAAAAACACAAAGATAGAGGCTCAAAAGAAATGTCTACCTCAAACAAAAAAAATGCTGTTCGTTTTTGTCCCTCTTGCTAGCTGCTCTTCACATTCTTTTTTGGCCTTCCCAATTATACTTCTGCACTTGATTTACAAGGGTTTGTTCTGTTCTATTTTCCTTAGTAGGATTTCACTTCCAATTTTTAAAACATGTCTTTTTGTTTCTAACCACATCTGTTTACTCCGCTGTTTAGTCATGATGGCAGTGTTTTGGTCCTCTTCCTGTTTTGTTTGAGTACATCAGAGGCGGGAAGCCTGCCAAACAATCACTGAAGCCACTGGATGATCAAAGTGCTAAAGGAGCACTCAAGAAAAACCAGACCTTTGTGGAGAAGCTAAATCCATTATTTGCATCAGTCTTCACTGCAGAGGATCTGAGGGAGGTTCCCACACCTAAGCCATTCTTTTTAGGTGACAAATTTGAGGAACTATCCCAGACTGAGGTGCCAGTGTAGGAGTTTTTGGAACAAATAGATACATTAAACAGTAATAAGTCACCAGGACCAGATGGTATTCACCCAAGAGTTCTTAAGGAACTCAAATATGAAATTGCAGAACTACTAACTGTGGTATGTAATCTATTGCTTAAATCAGCCTATATAAATATGACTGCTGGATAGCTAATGCAATGCTGAGTTTTTTAAAAAGCTCCAGAGGCGATCCTTGCAATTACAGGGCAGTAAGCCTAACTCCAGTACCAGGCAAATTGGTTGAAACTAGTAAAGAACAGAATTATCAGATTAATAGATGAATATGATATGTTGGGCAAGAGTCAATATGGCTTCTGTAAAGGGGAATCATGTCTCACCAATCTACTGTATTAGTATTCTTTGAGGGGGTCAACAATTTTGACACAGTCTCCCACAGTATTCTTGCCAGTAAGTTAAAGAAGTATGGACTGGATGAATGGACTATAAGGTGGATAGAAAGCTGGCTAGATTGTTGGGCTCAATGAGTAGTGATCAATGGCTCCATGTCTAGTTGACAGCTGGTATCAAGTGGAGTGCCCCAAGGGTCGGTCCTCGGGCCGGTTTTGTTCAATATCTTCATGAATGATCTGGAGGATGGTGTGGATTGCACCCTCAGCAAGTTTGCAGATGACACCAAACTGGGAGGAGAGGTCAATACGCTGGAGGGTAGGGATAGGATACAGAGGGACCTAGACAAATTAGAGGATTGGGCCAAAAGAAATCTGATGAGGTTCAACAAGGACAGGTGCAGAGACCTGCACTTAAGAAGGAAGAATCCCATGCACCGCTACAGACTAGGGACCGAATGGCTAGGCAGCAGTTCTGCAGAAAAGAACCTAGGGGTTACAATGGACGAGAAACTGAATATGAGTCAACAGTATGCCCTTGTTGCCAAGAAGGCCAATGGCATTTTGGGATGTATAAGTAGGGGCATTGCCAGCAGATCGAGGGACGTGATCGTTCCTCTCTATTTGACATTGGTGAGGCCTCATCTGGAGTACTGTGTCCAGTTTTGGGCCTCACACTACAAGAAGGATGTGGAAAAATTGGAAAACGTCCAGCGGAGGGCAACAAAAATGATTAGGGGACTGGAACACATGACTTATGAGGAGAGGTTGAGGGAACTGGAATTGTTTAGTCTGTGGAAGAGAAGAATGAGGGGGGATTTGATAGCTGCTTTCAACTACCTGAAAGGGGGTTCCAAAGAGGATGGCTCTAGACTGTTCTCAGTGGTAGCAGATGACAGAACGAGGAGTAATGGTCTCAAGTTGCAGTGGGGGAGGTTTAGGTTGGATATTAGGAGAAACTTTTTCACTAGGAGGGTGGTGAAACACTGGTATGCGTTACCTACGGAGGTGGTGGAATCTCCTTCCTTAGAAATTTTTAAGGTCAGGCTTGACAAAGCTCTGGCTGGGATGATTTAGTTGGGGATTGGTCCTGCTTTGAGCAGGGGGTTGGACTAGATGACCTCCTGAGGTCCCTTCCAACCCTGATATTCTATGATTCTATGATAATTGTGGACAAGAGTGATCCAGTGCCTATACTGTATGAGGACGTTCAGAAAGCTTTCGACAAGGTCCCTCACCAAAGGCTCTTAAGCAAAGTAAGCAGTCATGGGATAAGAGGGAAGGTCCTCTCCTGGATCAGTAACTGGTTAAAAGACAGGAAACAAAGGGTAGGAATAAATAGTGAGTTTTCAGAATGGAGAGAGGTAAACAGCAGAGTTCCCCAGGGATCTGTAGTGGTCTACTGCTGTTCAACATATTCGTAAGTGATCTGGAAAAAGGGGTAAAACGGTGAGGTGGCAAAGTTTTCAGATGATACAAAATAGTTGACTGTAAACGTTAAAAAACTGACTGCAAAGAGTTACAAAGGGATCTCACAAAATTGAGTGATTGGGGCAACAAAATGGTAGATGAAATTCAGTGTTGATAAATGCAAAGTAATACACATTGGAAAACATAATCCCAACTATACATACAAAATGATGGAGTCTAAATTAGCTGTTACCACTCAAGAAAGAGATCTTGGAGTCATTGTGAATAGTAATCTGAAAACATCCACTCAGTGAGCAGCAGCAGTCAAAAAAGCTAACAGAATGTTAGGAACCACGAGGAAAGGGATAGATAATAAGAAAATAAATATTATAGTGCTGCTATATAAATTCATGATGCCCACCCCTTGAATACTGTGTGCAGTTCTGATAGCCCCATCTCAAAAAAAGAGATATTAGAATTGTAAAAAGTACAGAGAAGGGGAAAAAAAAAGATTAAGGGTATGGAACAGCTTCCATATAAGAAGAGAATAAAAAGATTGACTGTTCAGGTTAGAAAAGAAATGACTAAGGGAGCATATGATAGAGGTATATTAAATCATGAAGGGTGTGGAGAAAGTGAATAGGGAAGTGTTAGTTACTCCTTCACATAAAACAAGAACTAGAGGTCACCCAATGAAATGAATAATCAGCAGGTTTAATACAAACATAAGGAAGTACTTCTTCACACAACATACAGTCAACCTGTAGAACTCGTTGCCAGGGGATGTTGTGAAGACTAAAATATAACTGGGTTCTAGAAAGAATTAGATAAATGCATGGAGGATAGGTCCATCAATGGCTACTCACCAAGATGGGCAGGGATGCAGCCTCATGCTCTGAGCATCCCTAAACCTCTGACTGCCAGAAGCTGGGACTGGAGGACAGGCGATGGATCAGTTGATAAATTGCCCTGTTCTATTCGTTCCCTCTGAAGCATCTGGCACCGGCCACTGTCGGAAGACAGGTTACTGGGCTAGATGGACCATTGGTCTGACCCAGTATGGCCATTCTTAAGTTCTTGTCAAGACCAGTATATAATTGCAAAGAAGCTAAGTAGTCCATGACCAAACTTATATTAGTTGTTGTGCATGATTCAGATAAAGTGCAAAACTGGGTCCATAGCAGAGATTTAACAAAGTGAGGGCTGAGTTGTTAAGTTGGAGCTGCAGCTAGCAAGAGATGTCAAAAGTAACAAGAAGGGTTTCTTCAGGTATGTTGGCAACAAGAAGAAAGCCAAGGAAAGTGTGGGCCCCTTACTGAATGAGGGAGGCAACCTAGTGACAGAGGATGTGGAAAAAGCTAATGTACTCAATGCTTTTTTTGCCTCTGTCTTCACTAACAAGGTCAGCTCCCAGACTGCTGCGCTGGGCATCACAGCATGGGGAGTAGATGGCCAGCCCTCTGTGGAGAAAGAGATGGTTAGGGACTATTTAGAAAAGCTGGATGTGCACAAGTCCATGGGGCCGGATGCGCTGCATCTGAGAGTGCTAAAGGAGTTGGCGGCTGTGATTGCAGAGCCATTGGTCATTATCTTTGAAAACTCGTGGCGAACGGGGGAAGTTCCAGATGACTGGAAAAAGGCTAATGCAGTGCCAATCTTTAAAAAAGGGAAGAAGGAGGATCCTGGGAACTACAGGCCAGTCAGCCTCACCTCAGTCCCTGGAAAAATCATGGAGCAGGTCCTTAAAGAATCAATCCTGAAGCACTTACATGAGAGTCAGCATGGATTCACCAAGGGAAGGTCATGCCTGACTAATCTAATCGCCTTCTATGATGAGATTACTGGTTCTGTGGATGAAGGGAAAGCAGTGGATGTATTATTTCTTGACTTTAGCAAAGCTTTTGACATGGTCTCCCACAGTATTCTTGTCAGCAAGTTAAAGAAGTATGGGCTGGATGAATGCTCTATAAGGTGGGTAGAAAGTTGGCTAGATTGTCGGGCTCAACGGGTAGTGATCAATGGCTCCATCTCTAGTGGGCAGCCGGTGTCAAGTGGAGTGCCCCGGGGTCAGTCCTGGGGCCGGTTTTGTTCAATATCTTCATAAATGATCTGGAGGATGGTGTGGATTGCACTCTCAGCAAATTTGCGGATGATACTAAACTAAGAGGAGTGGTAGATACGCTGGAGGGCAGGGATAGGATACAGAGGGACCTAGACAAATTGGAGGATTGGGCCAAAAGAAATCTGATGAGGTTCAATAAGGATAAGTGCAGGGTCCTGCACTTAGGACAGAAGAACCCAATGCACTGCTACAGACTAGGGACCGAATGGCTAGGCAGCAGTTCTGCGGAAAAGGACCTAGGGGTCACAGTGGACGAGAAGCTGGATATGAGTCAGCAGTGTGCCCTTGTTGCCAAGAAGGCCAATGGCATTTTGGGATTATAAGTAGGGGCATAGCGAGCAGATCGAGGGACGTGATCGTTCCCCTCTATTCGACATTGGTGGGGCCTCATCTGGAGTACTGTGTCCAGTTTTGGGCCCCACACTTCAAGAAGGATGTGGATAAATTGGAGAGAGTCCAGCGAAGGGCAACAAAAATGATTAGGGGTCTGGAACACATGACTTATGAGGAGAGGTTGAGGGAACTGGGATTGTTTAGTCTGCAGAAGAGAAGAATGAGGGGGGATTTGATAGCTGCTTTCAACTACCTGAGAGGTGGTTCCAGAGAGGATGGTTCTAGACTATTCTCAGTGGTAGAAGAGGACAGGACAAGGAGTAATGGTCTCAAGTTGCAGTGGGGGAGGTTTAGGTTGGATATCAGGAAAAACTTTTTCACTAGGAGGGTGGTGAGACACTGAAATGCGTTACCTAGGGAGGTGGTAGAATCTCCTTCCTTAGAAGTTTTAAGGTCAGGCTTGACAAAGCCCTGGCTGGGATGATTTAATTGGGGATTGGTCCTGCTTTGAGCAGGGGGTTGGACTAGATGACCTCCTGAGGTCCCTTCCAACCCTGATATACTATGATTCTATGACAAGTTATAAATAGCACAACCCAAGAGCTATGGTAGAAATAGGAGGAGGGGATAACTCAGTACTACTAGCCTCAATTATTTTGAAGAAATCATCACTGAGTTGAAATAGATCATGAGACATGTCAGGAAAGCTGGGAATCAAAATGTTATCTATTGTTTAGAAGAGAAGCAGTTAAGATAGTTTCCTCATTATTGATAACGTTAGTATAGTAACTATTCTCTGGAAGACAAGATCACTTATTTACAAACATACACATACACATATTCTATTGTTGAGAAAAGCCCACTTCCACTTTAATTGAATTGTCTCGTTAGCACTGACCCCCCCACTTGGTAAGGCAACTCCCATCTTTTCATGTATTGTGTATATATACCTGCCTACTGTATTTTCCATTCCATACATCTGATGAAGTGGGTTTTAGCCCATGAAAGCTTATGCCCAAATAAATTTGTTAGTCTCTAAGGTTCCACAAGTACTCCTCGTTTTTGCTGATACAGACTAATACGGCTACCACTCTGAAACCTGTCACACATACTATGGTATTTCTGACTACCTCTATCTATATAAGTCCCTTTGCATTAGCTAATTGTGAGAAATTTTAATTTTCTTTGTTTCACTATCTGTTTCATTTTATTGTTAATAACAGACCACACACACACACACACACACACACACAAACACAAAAATTCCCACTGCCATTTCCAAATATCAGTTTATATTTTAAGATCAGTCACTGGCAGTACAATAGTTAAGATTAGAGACTACTAAAATTACTCTTAATTGATCAGTAACTGATTAATAATGTGAAAAAACAAACCAAATTTGAAACTCAGACCTGAATAGACTGTTCAGCAGTATTTCCACTTCCTGATGAAATTCCACTGAATGCATCAATTAGGCCATTGGAATCAACTGTATCTGTGGCATACAACTTTAAGCCTCCTGAAATGTGATGGTTAAAATAATCACAATAGTCATTTACTGTAAAACAGTAGGTTTTTGTTATGTGCCTTATGTTTGTTTAGCTGTTGCTATAGAGCACAGTGTTAGTTTGATAAATCAAATTTTGATCTTTTATTATCCTTTATTCATCTCAAAATAAGTGCAGGGAGGAACCACTGTGTGGTGAGGAATCAATTAATACAAACACCCAGAGAGTTCCTGCAAAAAGCAAGTCTGACCTGGGAAATGATCCCATCTGTTCACTTTTTAACTCCACCTAGCTTGGTCTGACTAAGAATTGTCACCTGTAGCACTTCATCAAGTACAGTGCTCACTTGCTCATGGGCTGTTCTTGGTAAGTCTGGACTCTGAGCCATGGACCTATAAAGTGCAATTCCACTCTGAAAAACACCTCTGTAAAAATGACATGGTGGAATTCCAAGATTATTGCTTCTCAGTGACTCAGATCAAATCTGCTTAGTTTACAAATATAACGTTTGGGCCTCTTTTTCATTTGTGCTGAGCACCCATAATGCCAATGGGAACTTCTAGTGCTCAGTGTCTTTGGAAATCTGGCCATTTATTTAAAACAGTGAGCACTGCCCGCTGAGACTGGGCTCTGAAAGACCAGCTGCGTTCTTTCTGGCTCATACAATCATTTAACACTAAAGATTCCGTGATCAGAACATAGTGAACTATTCTGTTATACTACACAAACCAGAACAGAATTCAGGTTGTTCTTCCACAGCCATGTTGGCTGTACAGTGCTAACAAGAGTAAAAAGCAGTGCAATCTTATTTAAGTCCCTGAAGCAAGAAAATGTGACTCTGAATACACAAAATGAGCATCTCTGTTGACTAAGAAGGTGCAATTTATACATAGTCACTATTCAGAGTAAAGCTACATTCTAAATCAACACATGGAATTCCCATTGGTAGTTGCCCTGTACTGCAGCCTCACCCTGAACCCATCTGGCTTTCTTTAAAATGGCTGAAGGTAAAAGTAACAGTGCAGCTCCAACTCAAAAATCCAAAGCAGACCTGACTGAGCCTCCTAGTTGTAAGTGTAGAGCCTGTGGTTGCTAAGTCCTCAGCTAGAACCCTCTAGCTGTGACTATTTGTGAGTTGGTAATTGTTTAACTATTTAGGACATTAATAGATTTGCATATTACTGCTAAGTAAACCTCAGAAATAAAATGTTAATCACTTAAACAGGAACATTTTTGTTTAGAGGAACATCCTCCAGTAACATAATTATCAAACCTTGCTATTTAGCAGGGTGTTATCAGGATACAGTTTTTTTAAAGCAAGAACAGATAAAGATAAACAATTGCTCCCAATATTGTTGTGTTTATTCAGCTGAAAATAAACATTCTGTAACTATGACTGGAATTAGCTGACCTTATTTTCTTTTCATATTACAAGTTGTAAACCACTCTAGTTTTACATTTCATGCTTAAGGTGTGCATGCCAAAAGTAGGATTAGTTTATAAACTTACTTACCTGTCATGTCTGAAAATTGTTCTAGTTGTGGAGCAGCACTTGGCCCTAAGGCAATGGTGTGAATGATTGATCCACTGTTTTCTACCTCCGTAAGGCAACTGCTCATACCTGAATCCTCTCCATCCGTCAGCAGTACAAGTTCAGAACCATCAAGATTAGAGTATTTTTGTTTAATCACCTGAATTGATAAGAAAATTTCAGGTATTAGCCATAGGACTTTATTGTAAATGTTAGCTGCTATAACACAGGCAGTGTCTACATCAAGAGAAACTCTTAAAGTTCAAGTTTAAAGCAAAATCTTTTCCTTACAAGTGTGAATTGTGCTGGTGTAGGAGGCTGTGTCATGTGGCAACAGCTGAATTGAAGGAGTCTGAATTACACTGCCTGTACAGGGCAGGATGGTTCACAGGAGAGGTGTCTAAGGGTAGCACACTCCTTACAGTATGCCAAGTAGTAGTAACGTGTGTCTGCTGGCCCCCACTCCAGGTCCTGCAGCCAATGACAGCATATGCACAGGGCATGTGGAAGCCTGTCCATGCCCATTGAAACTATGGAAAATTATCTTTAATACAGTTCTGTCCTGGAAAGTAACTTGAGAAATCATGGAGCATGAAGGTGTCATTTTACATAACCCCGTTTCAGAATAAAACCATGCTTAAACCAATGTTAAAATAAACAAAATTTGGATTTTCTATATGAGAAGTTATATGATTTTGATCGTCTGCACAATTCCTTGAAATTCCGGCAAAGCATTCTTGTAAGATTTTCTCAAAGCAATCTTATTTTTTTGCTAGTATAAACATAACAGGGCCTTGTTAATTTCTTAGCTCAATAGGAGCAGTTTCAGGGCCTAACTTGATTGAGCTTCCTAAGCCTCTCACTATAAAACACATTTTAGAAACCTCTAATTGTTCTTGTAGCTGTCTTTCTGAACCCCTTCCAGTTTCCCCATCCCCTTTGTGGATACCAGAGTCAGTATTCCAGTAATGATCTCAGTACTGCTGTACACAGAGGTGATATCACCTCCCTACTCCTACTCACTATTCTCCTCCTAATTCCATTTCATTATCACTGCATTCCAGGATACATTCCCCCCAAGTTCTCCTTCACCTCAAATCCTTTGCGTACTCCTTTGCAGATGTTAGTTCCTCCACCAGCTGATGTAGGCAGGTGTGCGATAAGATTCTGGCGTACATTATCACTGATTATTTGTTGTAGATTACTTTTAATTTGTGCTGTAGAATGGAATGTGACAATTCCAACCCAGGAACCTATTTCGATAATCTGTAGCAGGAATATCTCCGCAGCTTGGTAAAGACGTTTAATGCGGTTATTCTGCAGGTGAAGAAAGGGATGTACTTAGAACTACCAAGGCTTTTCAAGAGAGATCGCAAAAAGCAAGAATACAGCAATTACTAATGTTGTTCAGTTTGTACCGATAAATGGGAATGTACCTGCCATAGAGTAGATGAGAGATTTGAGGGGAAAATATAGAAAATTAGACAGATACCCAATATCTGGGTACCCCAAACTACCTTACACATCATCCCCCGGCATATTCTTTCCAGACCAGTGGAGATGTACACTATGTTCTGCTTTCATGGAAGGGTATCTGCATATTGAAACATCTAGGAGATATATAACTGTGTCAGCCAAACAGCATTCTAATAATGTGATGATATTCCTCACAAATACGGGTTTTTCTTTCACATTGTTTAAATAAAATCGCTGCAGCCTCAGAGAACAGTACTCAACCTACTTATGAATTAGGATAGCCCCTCTATTTCACAGTTTCCTGGCATTTTGAAAATTTGGTAATTTCAGTGAAAGAATTTATTTTAAATGTAAATATTTGAACAGATTGCTGAAAACCAGCTGAGAAAGTTTACCCTTGGAAGCTTTCCTTTCTCTATAAAACTAGCTGTCATTATTCTTGATCTAGTTAAGGATATTCTTCCTCGCCTATATTAAGATTAAGGGATGGGCTGATTTATATCTTTTATCTCTGGAAATCTAGTACATGTTTGCCACTTAATAGCTTTGGGGTGAATTTGATGCTAATGACAGTAAAATGCTCATAGTACTAGTCTACATAAGCTTTTCCAATCTGAAATCTCTCCAGAAGAAGGAATGCCAGCTGTATCAAAACATTTGGTTGTGAGATGGGTATAAATAATCATTAGAGAACACCACATTCATTTTCACTTGTGATCTAGAATTTGAAGTATTATCTCTAGAGGGAAAAGGTACCTGCTTTCAGACAGTGTTTAGTACTTTACTTTCAAGACCTCTGAATTCCATTCTGCTCAACTGTAGCTCATCACAAAATACATCACTTATTTGAAATCCATACCTTTCTTTGTCCCAAAGAAAATTAAATTATGATTTGATATTGAGAAATACTGAATTACAAAACTGAAAGCATATAAAACATTATATAGTACCCTCTAGGCCATAGAAATACGCCATATGCCATTTTAAACATCTTCCTGTGCATTTTCATTGGATTCATTATTGTGGGTTTGTGTCAAATATTTTAAGAGACACTCACAACCTGTTGAAGCCCCATAAATTATCTTTCTGAGAAAGAAGATGGATACCATACACCATCCTTTGCAAATTCCATACCATAAGCCTAAGATTTTTTTATCAAAACTTCATCATTTGGCTCCTCAGTGGAGTTGTGTTGATTGTTGAACTGAAGACCTAAAATATTAGTATTTTAAAGAAAGCTATAGTAGAACTCTTATTTATACCATATAATCATATATATGGAGTACATGATAGTGTGATATAGCATGAACTGGAGATTCTAATGTTGTTTCTTGATGATGAAATTTTGAGTGACTATATTTGGTATGACAGAAAAAAGTATTTTTAGAATGTTTTAGAGAGGTTTTAATTTTTTTATATTGGGACTACTTTGTATCCCTCCACCTGTAAAGCCAGGTGCCTTTGTTATCATTATTCAACCCACAGAGGGCTCATAAAGTCTTTTAAAAATTACAGAAGTTTTTTTCCAGACATAAAGATGCCACCATTTTAAAGCGAGATATCTGGGGCCTCTCCAGGGCACAAAAGGATGTTGTGCCTCCCACAGGGAAGCTGAGGATCTTCTCTTCCCAGAGATATACTGGTGGGAAGGTTCTATTTCTAGCCTTGAAGGTCTGAGATATATCAAACTTGAAAGTTGTAACATATTTGAGAACAGACGTTGTCACTAGCTCAGGATTGAATGTTTGAAACAAATACATTAGGGATGAGGAAATTCTGTATATTAGGGAAAGAATACATCAGAGGTTCATATAAAAAATAGCTCTTGGAAGCTGGGTAGTGGTTTGGAATGTAAGAATAAAACCTGAGGGGATGGATTTATGGGCAGAAAGCAGGTGAAGCTTGAAAAGGTACAGGATAAACTGCAAAAAATGTGGCAAACTTATCAAATGACTCTCACTTCTACGTGCTATTTATACATATGAACACATCTTATTCAGGGAGGTTATATTGGATTTACTTTAAGAATGATAAATTTGAGGCCCTAAACAGATTGAGAGTCTCTTTAAAGGCTCATATCACCTGAAGCAGCCTTTACAAGAAGAGAATTGTGTTAAGTTTAAATAAAAAAAAAGCCTCACCCTGGTTAATCCAGCATCACTTTATGACAACCCAAATTTTTGACTCATTAGGATGAATGATTATGAGGAAAGGTATTTCATTTTTATTTTGCTATACCTAGTGACATATATTGATTTTTAAAATAATTTGAGAGAGTCACATATGAATAATATCATGAAACTTCCATCTATGATATATTTTCTGTTTTGGGGAAGTACAGTGGTTCTGTCATTCTGGATCTGAAACTAAAAAGAGGAGCAAAAGTTATCTTTTGTAAAGAAAAAGAGACCAAGTCTGGCATATCATTTTTAGGAATTTGATGAGTTTCCTTTTAGCAATCCCTAAATATGTATAATGGGAGAAATAGTGGCCTCAGTTTTTTCTTAAAGAATAAAGGATGGTTACTGAAATATTGACAAAGGAAAATATTGTCATATATATACACCACATTGTTTTATAACTGCCTAACTGTTTCTAAGCAGTTCTGCTAAAAATAAGAACTTATATGTTTATTCTTACCCCAGTCATGCTCCCAGAAACATCAAGTACTAGACAGACGACTCTGTCTTTGGTCTGCAGCAATGAGAAGGAGGTCTCAAATGGAGGACTTGCGCTATTTATTTGAGAGGTGTTATTGAAGTCAGGAGAGTTCATAATTACTTCCCATGTGCTGTGGTAGTTGCACATTTTGTTCTGCATATTTGTAGCCTTTTCATTATGAGTACTTCGATCACAGAACTCAACCACCTAAAAAAAGCCAATTGGTAGAGAAGAAAAATTATTGAAAAAAGCAAGTGAACACATGTAGTAGCAAATCCCAGTTTACTATTTTTCCATTGCTCACCACAACCACAAATACAGAAATTCTTTGCCTGCTCTAAGGGCTATAGAGAATAAAATCCTTCTATGTCCTGGACCTTGGAAAAAGTCATCAAAGAAGAGCGTTCCCCAAGAATCTGTCTCAGGGGTTACACAGGTATGTCCACACTGCAATCAGAGGTATGAGTGAAGCTCAGGCAGGCATACACATGCTGTCTTTAATCCAGCTAGTGTCTCTACTGATAGCAGTAAAAATGTGGCAGCATGGGCTGTACAAACCTACCCAGAACCCTGGATATATACTTCACATTGCTAGCCTGCACCAGTGTCCATGCCACCATGTCTTCGCTGCTATTTTTAGCCTCACTAGCTAGATTAAAGCTAGCACCAATATGCGTACCTGAGCTTCCATCATACCTCTGATTGCAGTGTAGACATACCTGTATTTAATCACTGTTTTTAAGGATGCCCTGGCAAATCAGACATCATCAGTAAAGTTCACAGTTATGTAGATACCATGGAGTCTCAGAGCATTGATACACAAGGCTCTAACTCACCTGGGACACAACACACTCTGCCAGGGGAAAATCATGCACAAGGGGGAAAAAATTTCAAAGCAAAAACCCTCTGATCTTCCTGGCTGGCAGGAATACTTTTAAAGAGGATGAACAGCTCGCTGTGTCTGTTCCCCTTTGCTTTTCCTAGCAGGGCAGAATTCAACCCATAAAATATTTTCAAAGCTTCGGAAGTAAGGTGCAGCGTGCCTCTAGCAAGTTGCTGAGCACACTCAATATCCATACATTTTAGTGGGAGTTTAGCACATCACAGGATTAGACTGTCACAAAGGAATAAACCTTCTCAATGTTGTAACAGAAAATGCCCCACCTGGGTAACTTTGTTATCTGACCCAAAAGGGAGCAAATGTTTCCACAATGTCAGGGTATTTCCATACCCTGTGATGGAACAGATAGGCCCCACACTGGCAATGAAAGGCTTAATGAGAACCTATGGACCCAGTTGGCCCCACCCTACTACACCAGCAGCAAATGTCAGGCATGGAGAGAGGAGATAAAAGGAAACTTAGCTAAACTCAGGGCTGCCCAGGAAGGAGAGCAGAACTCCGCTTCTCCAGAGAGAAGCCTGGTTGCAGATCAGAGTCTGAGCCAGCTTGCTGGCCTGACAAGCTCCTGTTGGAAGGGACAACCAGATCCTGGGGGATCAGCAGAAGCAAGAACTGTTTGGAGACAAGCCTTGAATAGAAAGGCTGGGTCCCACATAAGTTTCATTGGACAACTCTGTTTTGAGTTGTATTTTCTCTTGTTTTAGGATCATAGTATACCAGGGAAGGGACCTCAGGAGATCATCTACTCCAACCCCCTGCTCAAAGCAGGACCAATCCCCAATTTTTGCCCCAGATCCCAAACAGCCCCCTCAAGGATTGAACTCACAACCCTGGGTTTAGCAGACCAATGCTCAAACCACTGAGCTATCCCTCCCCCTGATTTCTGTGGAAGGGGCAGGACTCAAGCGAGCCTTGGCCGGAGGGCAAAAGCAATACTACTTTGGACCTCGTAGACATAGCAAAATATCATTAGAGACCTGCAGCTGGATGAATCATACCCTGAAGGGCCACAAGGGGGCAGCCCATTCAGAACAAACTTGGGGAAGAATGCAGACACAGATCCAGCACCGGGGGAAAGGGAAGAGGTCAGGACATTTAAAAAAAACAAAAAAACCCACACACATAAGGAAGAGACTCCCCAGCAGTATGGACATGGAGCAATTACTGAAATCAATGGTGGAGCAAAACACCCACCAACACCAGCAGCAACAGCAGATCCCACAGCAACTGGCCCCTCAGTAGCAGCAACTGACTTGAGACTTAGCTGCTCAGCAGCAACAGCAACAAAGGTTGGTGCAACAGGGCATTACCTGACTGCAGCTTCCCACAGTCGCCAAGCTTCTGCCATGGGTCTGGTGGACATAGACCTGGCCTGGGCCCTGGTACCCGTCAGATTCATGAAGATGGGGACTTAAGATGATCCAGTGACTTTTCTTGAAATTTTTCAATGGGTGGCAGGGGTAGCACGGTGGCCGCCAGAGCACTGAGCAGTCTTACCCATCACCTACTTGACCAGAACAGACTACAGGCTGCCTATTGTGGGCTAGACCCAGCGACAGCATGGGATTATGCCTCCAATAGCAAGGTTTATGCCTGTGGCAAGGTGGCCATTTTAAACTCATTGGATATCTCTGTGGGCCTGGTCCTGCCTGGTGGCACAGAAACTACAGGACTTGTGCTGGTGCTGTGGGGTCGGTGGGGGAGCTCGCAGGGCAGGGGACCAATAACAAGTTCTGGAGGGTCTGGGGCGGGCGGGCGGGGAGCACCCTCCCGCAGGACCCGCTTAAGGAAAAACTGAGAGGCGGGTGATAAGATACACCTCCTGGAGTACACGCTGGAGAGTATGAGGGGTGGAGAGCGCTGGCCAAGTGCCAGGGGATCCACCCAGTCCCCCCGGTCATAGTCCAAAAGGTCTCCAAGTCTGGTTGTTCCTGCCAGGACCAACCTTTGGCGCACCAAGTGGGACTCCGCCTCCTGCACACCAAGTTAGGGGGTTGTGTAGCAGGGCCTCTGTGAGGAGATCTGCCGGTGGCCGCCACTGACCTGGTCACCGAAACCAGCTTCCAGGTCTGGAGGAAACCCTGGTAGAGTCTAGCGGAAGACCCATTGGAGGCAGATGAAAGTGCTGTCAGTCACATTGGAGCACTCAGATGTGGTGAAGGAAGGCGTGCACCAATGTGCTCCATGCTGAACTAAGTGCAGCATAAAGGAGTCTATGCAGGGCCTGGAGGTGGAGGAGATGGACCTGACTGCAAAGGAAGATCAGGTTCTGTCCTTCCCCCTCCAGGGGAAGACTCAAACCCCCCACAGAGACACAGAGCAGTCCTGGCCAAAAGAATTCCAGAGCTAACCTCTGGAGCCGGGCCAGGATATCCAGGACCGGGCTCAGGATGTTGAGCCGGTGCCAGAGCATGGACAGTACCGGCTGGTGGAGCACCAGTGCCCTCCCTGATAGGGAAAGGCACTGGAGCAGTCCTGTCCACCTCCTCAGCCGCTCAGCCACTCTGCCCTTCAAATCTTGCTAGTTCTCTAGTGGAGAGGGATGGGTGGCGGCAAGATAAATGCCCAGATAGAGCAGCGTCCCCACGCTCCACCGAATAACCTGAATCACGGGTGGGAGGGAACTCGCTACCATCTGTCCCTGACCACCAGGCCAGAGCTCTTGACCCAGTTGACTGGAGTGGAGAAGGCCACCGAGTAGATAGCCTGGCGGGTCTCCAACCTGCGACAGGTCAGTCAGGTCCTGGACTATGAGGAGTATGTCATCAGCATACGCTGACAGGACCACCTGCAACTCTGGCTCACAGAGCACCCACCCTGTTAACCTTCTACAGAGGAGACAGAGGAAGAGCTCAATGGCCAGAGTGTACAGCTGGCCTGATAGTGGACATCCTTGACACACCCCTTGCCCAAAGCTGACAGGTTTGGTCAGAGTCCAGTTGAGCCTGACCAAACACTCCACGGAGGCATACAGGACCTGGAGAAAACCCACAAACTGGGGCCTGAAGCCAAATGCCCACAGATGTCCTGGAGATAACCGTGTTCCACCCTGTCTCCTGGTCAAGGGACAGGACGGCAAACGACAGACCATCCCTACACCTTCCCTCAAGGAGGTCCCGGACCAGATAAAGATTGTTGAAGATAGCATTGCCTGGGATGGGGCAGGTCTGGTGGGGTGGACCACATCCACCAGCACGGACTCCAACCGCAGCAAGATGGCCTTTGCTATGACCTTGTAGTCCATGATCAGAACCAAGATGGGATGCCAATTCCAAAGGTCACAGAGGTCTCTCTTCTTGGGTAGCAAGATGAGTTCAGCTTGCCTGCACAACAGGAGAGTCACCCCACTTCCAAAGGACTCAGCCCAGATGATGGCAAGGTCTGGACTGAGGATGTCCCAGAACACGCGGTAGAACTCCACAGTCAGCCCGTCCATATCTGGAGATTTATTAGTGAGCATCTGATGGAGGGCTTCTGAGAACTTGGTCAGAGTGAGAGGCAGCTCCAGCCGGTCCTGGTCACCTGCGCTGACTGTCAGGACTCCATCCCAGAGAACCCTGTAGGCATCGGTGTCAGTCAGACCAGGGAGAATAGGCTGGAATAGAAGGTCTTAGCCCTCACATGCATCTCCACCAGATCTGTGAGGGAGTGCCATCCTCTGCCAACAGGTGACATGCTTCTTAGCCCCCTTCTTTTTCTCCAGGGAGTAGAAGAAGTGGGAGCCGCGATCCTTCTCCCAAAGTAAATGGATGTGGGATCGAACAAAGGCACCCTGAGCCCCATGGTCTTCAAGGGCCCGAGGGAAGCAACAGCTGAGCCAGTGCTTTGGACACAAACACCAATTAATTCCCCCCCCCACCCCGGGTGGACTTGACAGAGCCTAATTAGTGGATTAGAATGGGCTGGGGGAGCACTAATGAGCAAATTGGCCCATTAACACAAGAGGTAGAAAAAGGCATAGGAAGGCAGTGCAGGGGTGCGAAAGGCAGACTAGCAGAGCCAAAACCAGGAAGGATCTCTGGGTAGCGAGATCCCTTCCCTCTCCTCTCCTCAGAGAACTGAGGAGAAACTGAAACTGTAAATAATGATGGTACATGGATCGGTAAGGGTGTGGGAAGAGCAAATGCAAATAAACTGCACGGGGGGGGGGGGGTTGACAACTTAAGGTTCCTGAGTCTCTGCAGACAGAGAGAAGACAGGATCAGGACATTGCCCTGTCAGAATGTCAATCTCTTAAAGCCATAGAAAGCTGGGGAAGGCCTATCTGTAGCTCATGTGAACCTTCTGCTAGGTGGTGTTAGCAGCAACAAGGGCCAGGTTCAATATCTGAGATAGAGAGCAGCTGGGGAGTGCATAGTCAGGTTCCAAGGCAGAGTCAGTACCAAGGGTCAGAGTCCGAGTCACATTTTGGGGTCCAAGTCAGAAGGTGAAGTCCCAATCAAGCTGAGATTGGAGCAGGGAGAAGTCATGGCATGCTGTTCCCTGGACACTTCCTGGAATGCCCCTTAGATTTATATAGGGTGGGGAGCCAACCAGAAGTTATGGGGCTGCTGTCTGTCAGACCCCTGAAGGTGGGACTTCCCATGGTCTGTGTCCACAGCAGGTCATGGGCAGTGCCTGGCAGGATACGACTACCAGTTTGTAGCAGGGTTCTCATCTATTGTTGCCTTTCTCAATAATCTGCTTAAGAACAGCAGCCTGAGAAAGATCCGTTGAACGGAAACCTGTGAGAAGGTCTTTCAGCAACAAAAGGCTCACCTTTGTACAGAGCCCATTTTATACAGCCAAGAAATTCCTCCTACACACTGATGCTTCTGAAGCTGGATTCGGGGCTGTCTTCTCCCAAGTGGTTAATGGTGAGGAACATCCCATTCTGAGTTACAAATTGTTCCCAAGAGGGGCCTACTCCATTATAGAAAAAGAGGACTTAGCTGTGAAATGGGCCATGGAGGCACTCCAATATTACCTTCTTGGCAATTAATTCACCCTGGTCATGGATTGTGCATCTCTACGATGATTCCATGCCATGAAGGACATCAACCCCCAACTCATGGTGATACCTCTCTCTCCAGACCTTCTCCTTCTGTGTCCGGCATAGGACTGGGTTGCTCACTGAAATACAGACTTTGTCTCTCAGTAGAGGAGAGCTTCAGGGCAAAGCAGAGACCTAAGTAAGATCCTTTTTGTGTGTGTACATGCGCACGCAGGATGGGTGGGTGATGAGGCAAATAGGCCTGGCAATGACAAGGTTAATGAAAGCCTGTGGATTCACCTCACAATACTTCAGCAAATGTTGGGCATGGGGAGGGAAGGACTGGAAATGTTGCTCAGAAAGCAGAGGGGAAGTTTTTTGGGCAGAGTGATGGGTGGAAAAAGGCTTGGAACTGTGAACAAAGAAAGTACCTCCTGTTGTTTGATTCCTGCTATCTTCAGAGTAACAGGACTTTATGTATATTCTTTGTAAACAAACCAGATTGCATCAAAGAAATACTTTACTACATATCAGTTTCTCCTAATGGAAACAACCTACAAGACCCCAAATATTGGCTATCCAATTGGGTGAAAAAGCAATAACAATACTTACAGAAGGGAGGCTTTGCATGTACATTATAGATGCTAGGGCATTTTGTGTTTTATCTGGTACAAATTTACATCCAGCTTCATACAGCTTTGTCTGTTGATCATATTTGCATTCTCTTGTCGTGCAGCTGTTTCCCGTGCAGCTTTGGACTATGTATTTACCAGTGATATCACCTGAACATCTGAAGGAAGATGAGATAGAAAGAGGCTTAGCTAACAAGCCACATATAATCAACAAATAAGAATCTGTTATTTATTATTTGAATCATTGTAGGCCCAAAGCCTCCAAACATGACTGGCATTAGTTAGACACCATGGGCAGTGGGTGAAACACAGTCTCGGGGAGGCTAGCTAGCTCCTGGGCCACCTCGCCTTTTCTGCCTGGGGCCCCACCCCTCCTGCCCACCTTCCCCCTCTGGAGTGCAGAGGCTCCCCCACTCCCGCCAGCCCCGGGCCACTCGAGCACCTCTCCCTGCCAGTCCTGGAGCGCCCGGTGGGCAGGCAGGCAGCGCAGCCCCTAGCCCCAGAATGGCAGGCAACCAGGCGAGTAGGCAGCTGAGCACGGCCCCCCAGCACAGTGGGTGGGCAGCGCACCTTCCCCTCCCAGAGCGCCAGGTGGGCGGGCGACACGAGTACCGGCTCCAGCCGCCTGGAGTCCCTGGCTGCAGGCCAGCCCCCACCAACCCCAGGGCAAGAATGGGAGGTCTGGAGGCTCCCACCCAAGGTGGAGGCGGAAACAGCCCCCGGCCTGTGTCACAGGCCCCCCGACCTGGGCAGGTGGAGGGTCCCAGGCTCTGCACAGCTGCCTGCGCAGCTCTCCCCGACCTGGCTCCAGCCAGGGTGTGGGGCTTCAGAGCCGCAGCCTGGCCATTATAAGAGCTGGATGGGCAGGTGGAGGGTCCATGGTTCCTCTTAGCTGCCTGCGCAGCTCTTACTGTGGCCAGGCTGCAACTCTGAGGCCCCTCCCGGGTTGGGGAGAACCGTGCGGGCAGCTGTAGGGAGCTGGTGCGGCGTCACAGACCCTCCTCCTCTCCCAGGCAGCCGAGACTTGGGCTGAGGGCTGCTCTCAGCCTCCCCCCCGCACCCTGGGCAGGTCTGCCATGGCTTCCCACAGCTGTCTGGTCTCCCCGGCTGGACTCCGTGCTGGCCTGGACGGGGTTGGGGCTTGATGGGGGAGGAGGAGGGGAAGGGATGCGGTCTGGCCAGGCCCGTTCACTTTCAAAAAGTGGGAGGGCTATGGCCCCCAGGTCCCCCCTGGTTCTGGTCCTGGGCCCCGGCTACATGAGAAGGAAGAGTCACAACAGAGCACGGCTGGAAGCAGGAGGGGATCAGGGGGTGGAGTGTGGGCGGGGTTATTTACAGATTGTGTGTCAAACACCATCTATGTGAAGAATAACAATGCAAGTGCCTCCATTATTCCATCAATATGCATCAATCCAGACATGAAGGACCCTCTCCTGAGGTCAACTGGTACTACATTCTCCATGCCCATTCAATCACTGCCTCTGGGACAGAGTTCTAAGGCTATAGCTCACCCAAGACTCTGATCACTAAGGTACTATCTATTCCCCCTGGAGTGGACTTAACTGGGAGATGGGTGCTCAATGGCTTAATAAGACACAGGGCTGATGTGCTAATGAGAGCAATCAATCCATCAGCTGGGAGTAGTTAAGAGGCAGGACGGAAGTACAAGAGGGAGGATGCCAGGAGATACAGAAGCTGAGGAGATCTTTTCCTCTGCCACACCAGAGAGTGGGCTATGGGGAAGTTTACGTACACTGGTATGTTGCTGCCCAAGGCTGTACTGATGAACTGGTGGAAGGGTCCTAATAAATAACACTCTCATGCTTATAAATCTGGAAAGTGTCCAGCCAGTTTGTGGTGGTTGAAAGGGCGGAGCAGGGAGCCCTGTCGCAGTCTCCTTCAGTGGTGATTGCCAATTGGAGTGCCAATTGCAGTTCAGAAGTTTGGTGATGTTGATACTTGTCCATTAGGAATTGGACTGAAAACACCAATTCGTTTCACAGTGGTCAACAAGTGACTGGCCGATAGTGATGAGTTTAAGGCCCTACCAAACTGGTTCCAGTTCAGATCAGTGCCTGAGAGGTGAAAAGTTCTGTATCCCATTTCCAACCCTCTGAGATATCCAGTCTCACTCTGTTTTTTTGTTTCTCATTGACAGAACTGTATATTTTAAAAACACCACTTAAATATGCAGAATCTAGAGAACATTATCATAAAATAGTAATAGCACTATAACATGGCAATAATGGGGTGTGCACTTTGACCATGTCCCTTTTTAATATTTAGATAACACTAAACATGAACTAGTAAGAATGTTTTGGAATTTCAAGGATCACCCCCCCCCCCCGAGGAACTTGAGAAAACATTCTTATTTACTACATGCTAACTGCTATTTGATAAAGCCATGGTAAATCAAAATGTAGAGAAGGTAACTCAAATCTGTAAAATTTGCACCTAAATTGCACCTATAAATTGCACCTAAATTAAAAGCTCATTTAGTAATAAAAATGTGACACATTACAAAATGATAGTGATAATTCAATGAGACTGATCTGTAGGCAGCAATATTGTTAGTTAAACATTATTGTATAATCTTCTTTTTTAATCCTATGAACAAGACTTTCAAGGATTAAAGACTTTTCGCACGTGGCTCAAAGTACAGACTGAACACAGATAACCAGTATGTGCCAAGTATCACTGAGGTATTTAAAATTTCATCAGCTGAAGATAAAATATAAAACATTGTTACCTAGTTGCTTCAACACTTCCTGTTCCAGAGTTTACAGACACATAGAAAGGTGCATCGTTATTATATTCATCAAATACTCCCCAACGAAGATGGGCCCATTCATGGACAAAAACTTTAGCTGGGGAAGAATAGGATCATTTGTGAATTCTAAATACAACACTTTATAGTTTACTTTATATTTCCATAGATCATTTAAACAAATTTAGGCCCAATCCTACAATTGTCTCTGCTTGGACATACCCCTGTGCCCACACAGGACTCACTGTGGGATCCGGCTTTAAACCCAAATAGATCACTGTGTTCAGATTAATCCTCCCAGAATATTAACAGACCTAAAGTAAAGATCTTTTTCCATACAGTAGCTTCTGACTATTCCAGGTATCAAGCAAGGTTTCTCATGTTACCCATGTCTTTTAAAATAATAATTCTTGGCTCTTATATAACACAAAGGAAAAGGTGTAAAAACCAGAATACTTTTGCAGAAAACCAAACTATCTCACCAAGACAATCTAACCCCTTTCTTGCAGGTGTTGGAAAAGCCATTGACATGGAGAATGTATATAATGTTGTCTAACTAAAGCTTTCAACTAAAGATGGGCCAAGGAAGCAGAGCTCAGATCAGATTAAGTTTAAACCAGAATTCAAGGTTTGAGTTCAATGCTTCACTTGGCTAGAATTTGCGTTTGTATTTGATTTAACTAGAATCCAATGAATTATTCTAAGGAGATTTTTGTCCCAAACTGCCAGAAATCTGATGAGAAAGACTGTTCTTGTGAGACTTCCACCATTTTAGGCCAACAAACCTCTAAATTTTTGATCCAAGCTAATGCAGTTTCGTCTTGGATTTGAATCCCAATAACCTTGCACATTTACCAGGGTTCAGATTTGAGGGGCTGGTTTTGACCTAGCTCTATTTTAAAAGAAACACATAAATGATTTATTCTAACTTGTGTATGGAACAGAGATAAATAAATTGGACAGTATATTGGTTAAATGGACATAGGAGAAAGTCATTGTTAATGACAGGAAGTTACACTGCACAAAACTGAGAGGTCTCTTTTGGGACTTTTTTATTTGTTTATTAATGGCCTCGCATAGGCAATGCTCATGCAGCCAAAAAATGTGCTGATGAAATCAAAATGGGAATATTGTTAATTCCTTGTGAATGTACACTTACAAGAAGGGTAGTTGGGCAAATGTGATTTTCAGAAGTTCCAATAAAAACCTTCACGTCCTCAGAGCAGGATCCGCTCATGAGCGTTTGGTCTATTCTAGAATCCTCTGAGACTGGTTTTACCTGCATATTCACCAGGTTACACCCACTGCAACTCTCAGATTAGTTTACTGCACTGTAATGTTAGGATATAGATTATTCCAAGTCAAAGCAATGATTTAAGAGGACAAACAACTCACATTTACTGAAAAAATATTAGCCAGAATTTTCAAGAGACTGGTAATGTTAGGTGCCCCCATTTCTGAGTGTTCAACTTAAGACTCATCCAGGGAGCCTGATGTTCAACACTGTGTGAAAAACCAGGCTCTTTTAAAGTTTTGCAGCTTGGGCAACCAATAACGGAGGCATCCCAAATCACTAGTCACTCCGGAAAATCTTGGCTATTGCATATTTATAACTACAAAGGCAGAAAATTAAGGTCCAATAGATGGTGCTACCTCGTGATCCATAGATGTTATTCAAATTGTCTTTTAACAGGAAGTCGGGAGTGAAATGAATGTATCGTCCCTTTTCCCCACATCCTCCATATTGCAGCGTGTAGGGATCATCTCCGTACTTCAAGAAAGGATTAGCCACGATAACATCTGCCTAAAAATAAAATAGCCCTTGTTTAAAGAGCAGGAGGAAATAGAGGGTGGTAGATGATTCTGTTGAATGGGCTCATCCTGCAGCTTTTACTCACGCAACACTCCCATTGATTGTTTCCCTGGGTAAGGACTGCAGGACTGAGCACAAGAGGGGAATACAAATTCTAAAAATAGCAATTTATATTCCCTCATTATTGGAAAAACTTAGGTCTTGTCTACGCGGTGGGGTAACACGCACTACCGGGGGATGTGTGTGTGTGATTTCTAAAGTGCAGCACTACATTAAAGTGCATCAGGGAACGCTTAGTGCACACCAGCAGGTTCTACAAGGACCAATTAATGAGCAACACATTAATGTGTTTTAGAAATTATACCTCCATAGTGTGCATTACTCTACCTTGTAGACAAGACCCTACGTCTTAAGCGTATGAACACAACATATATTTTTGATTTATAAGGGCACTCTAAGTCTTACCTTATCATATGACTCTGTTTTTACATTTAAATAGTCAGGTTTTGGCAGCCAATGCAGAGGAATTATAATTTTTACAGCCTTGAAAAAAAATCTCTGTTTTGTAGCATGGAACAAGTAAGTAGAAGCCTCTTTGATCATGGCCTGGGAGGGAAAGAAAAGATTTATGAATCACAAATTGAACAGTAGAGGCAATGAGTAGTTTAGCCTGGCCAGGAAAGAAGAGTACATAAAGTAACACTAAATATGTGAAGGCATAGAAAGAAACCAATCTTGGCCAAGGGAAGGGCTGGGACAGATTATTTCCCTCATGGAGCAAGGAGAAATCAAATTGTAACTCTGAAAGACTCTGGATTGCTCCTAGGACAGTACAAATATACACTGCCCCTTGCTCAGGGCTATGATAAAAACCAGAATCTATCCCTTAAAATAAAACCTGAAAGAGATCCTTCCAAACATGACATTTCTTCAAAAAAGTTACATGGGCTTGAGGTGATGGATGGTTCAGTCCTGGACTAATCCTTTTCATTAATCTGTAAAGTGTACTGTGGTGCTTGATTAATAAAATAAAATGATAAATTGTAAGTAATATCCTGTGGTTTCCTTTTTCTTCTCCCTGGGATTCCTCATTTCTCTGTTCTACTTGTATTAGGTTCTACTTTCTTCCTGCCTCTACAGTGGGAACTACTTTGTCACTATTTTCCTGTTTCCCTCCTCCTTGTTCCTTCCCCACCTCTCTTGAGTACTTTGGGGGTCACTAGTTAATGGCTATGCCCTCCTCTGTTTATTGTTCTCTTTACAGCAACTGAATGCTCAATGACCAAATCATGTAAACATGGAGTAAAGATCTACACTGTGACACTGAGAACTTAAAGAATAACGAAAAACAGAAATATCACGATATACATATACACACACACACACGCATACATATACACACAACAAGGGTGTTTAAGAACACAGTGAATGCCTGCAAGGACAGGGAGAAAGGAGGGATAAAAGTAAATGGCAAACTCTGTAATGGAGCTGAAGTAATTGGAAATTAAATATCCATGTTCTGGAAATTCTCTAGTCTAAGTACTCATGTTTTGGAAAGAAGTAATTAAGAAGGAGGTGATACATATTATCAGCCTGACCTTGAGCCATAATATTCCTGTTAAAATTCAAGAGATGAGTACACTTATTTCATTAACAGCAGCATCTGAATAAAAATTCAAGCAAAGAACAAATTTAGTAACCGTAGAATTGATCTTGCTCCCATGAAAATAATAATAATAATAAAAAAACCTTGACATTAATAAAAAGAAAAGGAGTACTTGTGGCACCTTAGAGACTAACCAATTTATCTGAGCATAAGCTTTCGTGAGCTACAGCTCACTTCATCGGATGCATAAAGTGGAAAATGCAGTGAGGAGATTTATATACACACAGACCACGAAAAAATGGGTGTTTATCATACACATTGTAAGGAGAGTGATCACTTAAGATGAGCTATTACCAGCAGGAGACCCCACTCTTAAGTGATCACTCTCCTTACAATGTGTATGATAAACACCCATTTTTTCATGGTCTGTGTGTATATAAATCTCCTCACTGTATTTTCCACTTTATGCATTCGATGAAGTGAGCTGTAGCTCACGAAAGCTTATGCTCAAATAAATTGGTTAGTCTCTAAGGTGCCACAAGTACTCCTTTTCTTTTTGCGAATACAGACTAACACGTCTGCTACTCTGAAACTTGACATTAATGGGAAATGGAACTGGTCTTTTAGGATTACTGCTAATCTAGAGGTAGAAATAACCTGGAAGTCTGAATATCACTGAATGACAAATATACAAATGTTCTTACCTGTATGTTTCTAATGATATTGTGATCTTCTGGTAACTCAGGGTTAATTGCAATAACAATATCCTCGTAGCCACCATTTTTCAGCTGTACTGTAGAACTTTTCACCATAGGTACTAAAAATAAAAGAACAAAGCTCTTAAACACCCTCATTGTCCCGTTCCCCACAATTTTTTGTTATAAAAATGATGGCACAGCAGTGCTATTTGTACAATTACTGATTCACATGAAGGCTTTGTACATTTTATGGCAAGTATATATGGATCTGCTGTGTAAATCCAGGTTGCATAACTGCGTTCAATCTGATGGTGTCAGGTTATATATTAATACACTAGAGAAATTCCCAAAGACTGTAATGATCTAAACCTGAACTACTTCCGTATCTATTTCCAACTCATGAAAACAAAATAAGGCACCAAAAGAAGAGTGAGACAATTTGAATTTTTTTATTTAACAAATGCTTTTCTAGCCTTTTTCTGTGCAAATGCACTAATTATTAAGGAAAAATCTAGCTTTTGTGCAATGTCACAGTTGATATTAAGCATGACGATCCCATTCAAATGCTCTTTTCCCATAGTTGAATGTATCAGAGGGGTAGCCGTGTTAGTCTATATCCACAAAAGCAACGAGGAGTCCAGTGGCACCTTTAAGACAAACAGATTTATTTGGGCATAAGCTTTCATGGGTAAAGAACTCACTTCTTACATCTGAAGAACTTTTTTTTTTATCCATGAAAGCTTATGCCCAAATAAATCTGTTAGTCTTTGAGGTGCCGCGGCCTCCTCATTGTTTTTATAGTTGAACCGTGATAGCTCTTTACCTGCTTCAACACATTGAAGGTGTGTTCACCTGAAGCCACTGATGCAGGCAAACTGACAAAAATATGCAATGCAATTGTGATATTCGGAAACACACCAGAGAGTCCAAGTTCAAGTATTTCTTGAAGCAATTCCTTTGGCTTGCAATCCAATTTAAAGTTCGTGGAGTATATTCATTTGAGGAAGATGACCTCGTCACTGAGATCTTTTGAGATTTCTTTTTTGTACTGTTACTGAAATTGTTCAGCTGCAGAAAGTAGATCTTCATTACTCAGGCTGTTGAACTGCCAAAGAAACCCAAAAAGGATACAAATTAGTCGCAGTGACTCAGATCAACGTGTAAGACCTGACTGAATAGATTCAGTGATGACAAGGAAGACATTGACCCTATAATGCTGCTCGGCATTGGATTCAGTAAGTAAGTTGCGATTGATGGAGAACTCAGATGAAATGCCAATATTCTGTGCTACTAATTTGGACTCAGTCAGGATCGCATCCCATTGTTCACAAATCTGTTGAATGTCATTGATAAGACTTTCAAGGTTATCCCTCTCAACATCAAGTGTAGCATTGCATGCTTCAACTACCAGATTAGTTTGGTGGATCATTGTAAGTAGCTTCGTCCACAAGCCTGTGCAGTGAGACTGAGAGATTCAAGCTCATTTAAAGCCTTTCTCACTGAATTAAAATGCTGCGCATCTGGTTGAACACCATCAATCTGTGCAGACCATCTAGTTTTGGACATCCTATGCAGTGAAACAGGAAGATATTGCTATAGAATTTCCCACCTTTGTGGACTGCTACTGAAGAGATTGTACATTTGCTGAACAGTCCCAAAGTAAGTAATTGTCTCCTTGCATGATTCAGCACAGTCAACACCTACAAGGTTTAGTGTGTGGTTTCCACAGCTGGAGAAAATACAGTTTGAATTATGCTCAAGCAGAACTTTGTACTTCCCAGCCATATTAGATCCATTGTCATAGGCTTGACCAATGCAGACTTGAAAATCTAACTTAAAACCTTCTAGAATTGCTAGTACTCGATCAGCAATTTCTTTTCCAGTTTTTCTCATGAAATTATTAAAAATAAACCTTTCCTCAATTGAAAATTTTGAGCTGTCTACAATCTTAACATATTGAATAACTATAGTAGTCAGTTCCTTGTGAGAACAATCTGGAGAGGCATCAACAATGATTGAAAAATACTTGGCATTTTGAATCTCATCAAGAATTGTTGTTTGTACGAATGACCCACATAGCTCAATAAACTTGTTTTGTATGCGTGTGGAGAGATAATGGACTTGCATACGCTTTGACTCTCTTGCGATTCTCAAACACGTTTAACATGCTCTGATAAAAGTGGGTTATATTTGCTGAGGAGCTCAACTATGCCTAGAAAGTTTCCATGTGCACGATCACCAATATGTTGACTGCAACCAAAGAACATCAATCCCCGCTCAGAAAGAAAAAGGATGACATTCAGGATGCGCTCAAGAAGTTTTTTCCAGTTATTAGTTTCTGCAGAGAGTTCAGTCAAGAAGAGTAAATTCTCAACTGAACTTTCAGCTGATGCTGCTTTACTGGCTGATTTCCATGCCACATAATTTTCTTTGTGTGATGTTGAACTCTCATGTGATGGTATTCGGTCTTTCAACTTCCTCCAACCTCTGTTGATGCTCCATCCTGCTTGATCAGAGGGAACTGATGCATTTTCAGCACTTTTGTTCAAAATGAAGCAAGGTGCACAGTACAGAGATTGTTTTTCCATACTCCAGCATAACCAGTCTCTTGTGCAGGTCTCATCATTTGGAAGAGATTTTGTCAGCAGATGAGTAGGGAAAGCATGATTATCAGCATCTTGTGGAATGTTACTTGGAATTTGAAAACAACTAATTTGAAGAAAAGATTGCATTTGTGCAACATTGCTCTTGTCAATAATTCCAGTGTCAGTCACAGTCAAACCCGTTGTACTCATGAATTTCTCTTGCTGCGTAAGATCTACATCTTCTTGTTGCTGTTGAGTTTCTTGATCGTACACAGGATCTTCTGCTGCATCTGTTACTGTTGGCACATCTCCTTCTTGACTACTGTCCTCATGTTCAGGTATTGGCATTGAAATATCACCTGTTGCAGTTGCAGAGTTTTTATTATCTGTAGCATTGTTTGTTGGGTAAGGTGTGTTTTCCAGTGGTTTGAGAAATGAAGTTATTGGCTTTGAGCTCTTAGCTGCTGCTTCACTCAGTTATTTTCGCTGTCTCTTGCTTGCACACCACTTTCAAATCTCCTCTTCATAGTGATCTATCTGGTCAATATGTAGCCTATCGACACTTGAAATATTCTGCTGTAAATAGGTGGCTTATCTACACTTGTAAACATGTACACAAATGCTGATAAGACTTAAAACGAAGGAATACTAATTAAAAACACAAAATGAAACAGTCAGGTTATCTTTATCCCTGAATCAAAACTCAAGCATGCAAGGTATAATATAACAGGCTGAGCTGAAGACAAAGGAATGACACACACACACACATATATATATATATATATAGTAAACACAGACACGGATACAGACAGGGATAATGTCGAAAAATTTCAAACGTGTGTCCTCACGAAACTCACTGTACAAGATTGTTCTCACAAATTTTAATCTTGAATCTGTGCCTATAGACTACAAAAGCCTATGATGATGCCCAAGCTACCAAGCTAGGGCTCAACCAACCAGTCACCTCTTTTAGATACCATATGAAGATAATAATGATGAATTCTCACACATAAATAATTCCTTAGTCAGCTAGACATAAAACTGTAAAGACACTAAAATGTACCAATTCTCTACCTTTCAACACGCACTTGATCTGGCACCACCCACTAGTAGTGGTTTGTTTATATGATCAGCTGATCTGAGAGGACACGTTCATCATGGTTTAATATTGTGCCATCAGAACCAATATATTTTTATTAATATTTATGAACATTTTAAACTCTTTAATATGACAAAATCTGTATCAATTAAAAAAATTATGTCTTTTACCAAATCACATCTCTTATTTGCTTAAATTTGTAGATCTAAGCTGAGAGAGTGTGTCACATTTTGGTCTGATAGGGATGTGCATAAAAACAAGTTGCAAAACTTATCAAATGCCAAAAAATTAACAAGTGTCTAAATTTGAGGCCCATTTTGAGCTTGAGGCCCAGGCCAAATGGCCTTCCTGGCCTCCCCCTCTGATTGGCCCTGTATGTTCTACTGAATGGGACAAATGCAGATTGAGTGGCAAAGGCAGATCAGTGCTAATCTATGTGATTTGAGAGAGAAATTCCATATGGAATGTATCAGAGGACCTATTAGTTTTCATTAGATGCTTTAGTTTAAATAGAACTGTAGAAATTTGTCATACCTGCCAATATTTGAAATCTACTATACAAATAAAATAGGGACAATTGTTATGTACTGTATGTAACTTTATATTCTAATATGTGTAATTTAAATTTCTTTCCTTTTTGTAGAGAGAACACTTCCACTCAGCTTAGCTGTTTTACTTCAACAATGCATATAACTGCAGTCACAATTCATAGATGCATTGATTTTAAGGCCACCAGGGACCATCAGATCATCTAGTCTAACCTTCTGTATAATACAGGTGATGGAATTTTATGATGACTAAAGCATGTCTTCCAGAAAGGCCCAGTGCCAATCTGAAGACTTCAACTGATGGAGAATCCACCACTTCCCTTGGCAGTTTGTTTCAAGGATTTATCACTCACACTGTTAAAAATGTATAACTTAGTTCTAATTAGAATTTGTCTGGCTTTAACTTACAGCCCTTGGTTTAATGTCTAGTATATTCTCCCCAGGAAGGTATTTATATACCATAATAAAGTCATCTCTTGATTTTTTTTAAATCAACTAAATAAATTGAGCTTCTGAACTCTGTCACACTGAGATATACTTACCAAACTTTGAATAATTCTTGTAGCTATTTTCTGAACTCTTTCCAATTTTCCAACATCCTTTTAAAACTGCAGACACCAGAACTGTACACAGTATTCCAGTATTGGTCTCATCAGTATTGCATACAAAGGCAGCCTTCTCCTTGCTGCTACTCACAACTCCCCCTTTATACACCCAATGATTGAATTAGACCTTTTGGCCAAAGCACAGCACTGGGTGCTCATTTGAATTGTTTGTCCACTCTGACCCCTAAATCCTTTTCACAGTCATTGCTTTCGGAGATACAGTTCCCCATTCTCCATGACCTGCATTCTTTGTTCCTAAATGTATGATATTACATTTGTCTGCATTCAAATGTATTTTTGTTTGACTCAGCCCAGCTTA